GGCCGAACCGGCCGAGCTCATCCGGCGCGCGCACGAGTTCAAAAGCCAAGGGGCGCAGTGCTACAAAGACAAAAAATTCCGCGAAGCCATCGGCAAATACCACCGGGCGTTGCTGGAGCTGAAGGGGCTGCTGCCGAACCCCGGGGAGAGGGAGCGGGACTCGCGCGCGGCCTCCCCGGCCGGGGCCACCAAACCCGGCCGCCTCTCGGAGGAGCAGAGCAAGACGGTGGAAGCCATCGAGATCGACTGCTACAACAGCCTGGCAGGTGAGCCGCGCCGCGCCGCGCCGGGGCCCTTCTCCCCCGCCTTCCCGCCTGCCGCCGGGCCGGTCCCCATTGCCAGGCCTGGTCCTCCTGCCTCCGGTCCGTCCCCAGCGGCGCGTCCGCGGTGCGGACTCCTCTGCTGTGACCGTGTTGCCCTGGGGAGGAGATCCCCAGAGGGAGGCGCTTTCAGAAAGTGTGACTTTCAGGATTAGGCTTTCCAAAGGCCGTAGTCATCTCGCGCCCCTTCCCTTGTATACATGGTAACTCTCACCTATAAGGGGACAGACAGAAGGGGACCCCGCTGGCCTGGCTGTGGCCTCTTCTGCTATTGGTCACCAGTGGACCTGGGTCCAAAATGTGGAGGCGGCACCCAGGGTGGGCCCCCTCACCTGCCACTAGCCTGTGGCTAGGTTCCAAGGGCGGCTATGGCACCTGTCTGATCTCTTCAGGCTGTCATTGGCACAGACTTGGCTCTCACCTTCCCCTCAACCAACCTCAGGCCTCTGGGTAAGGTCCTTCCCCAAGTTCTTTGGCCCAGTAGCAAAAGGGAGTTTGCCACCATGCCTTCAGCACCTTGAGAAAATGGATTCCAGAATGCCACTTTCTTCTCTGTGGGCTCTACTGGGGTTGCCAGTTGCCAGGTGAAGCCGGCTGCCTCAAAGGGAACCTCGCAGACGGTTGGAATTGAGCTATGCTGTCTTCTCACCCTCTGCCCTGACCCAGGCTTGCTCAGTGTAGCATCAATTCTCAAGCCAGCCAGCGACTAGGGGTGAGGGAGAAGGGAACCCTTCTATTGGGAGAGGAAAGTATACACTCCAGAGTTCACTTTGGATACAGGATCAAAAGTAGGAGTTTTTTTTTTCCTTTGACTAAAGCACAGGAAAAATTTAAGTCTAAAAAAGGAAGAGGCTGGCTCTTTCCAGGGCCTTCCTGTAAGAAGGTGGGACAGGTTGGCAGAGACAATGGTCTTATATTTGAAAAGCATCTTCTGCTCTTCTCCCACCCCACTTGGTGAGACTTTGGCATGGTGGACCTTTTCTGACCAAATAAAAGGCCAAACCAAAGTCCCTAATTCTTGAAGTCGCTTAAACTAGCTATAGATGGTGAGGGCAGGGTCGGGTTGGATGTGTGACTGGGTGTGGCTGGGCCAAGGCAACCTGGGCCATGCAGTGGCAGATGAAAATAAATACTGATAATTCTGCTCTGTTCCTGAGTACAGCTCTACTCTGCTCCCTTTGGGGTTTCCAGTGCCAGACCACCTCTGCCCTCCCACAGTGCCAAGTCCAGCCTCATTTTTAATCAGGCAAAACCCAGGCCAGAGAGCCACTTTATGAATTGTAAACTAGTTTACAAACTTAAAGGACTAATAGTGGTGGTAGTAGTAGCTCCAGTTGTAGAAATGGTGGTGCTGACAGCAGTACCAGTCGTCATGACAGCAGACGAAGTAGCAATACAGCAAAAATGGAGTTTTTCAGTCCATTAGGAGATACAGCTTGAGTGCCTTTATTTCCCGTAATTGTCCAGTGTACTGGCTGCTGCCCAATGAAAAGTTAAAGGACAGAGCAGCCATGGGCGGAGGAAGAGGTACTCTGGATCACTAATGCGGTAATTTTGGAGTGGTAATGGAATCATATTCAGTATAACCCATTGACATTCTAGGGCTGCCCCTCACCCCACGCTTTTGGCTGTTGTCCAGTGGCTAGCACTGGCTGCCCTCCACCCCAGAAGTGGTTACATTTCCATGGTGAAACCAAAGCTGTGTCCTTGGTCAGGCGGGCCCAGATGGGGTGGGGCTGAGATCCGGACATCTCCTGCACGTCTGTCCCCACCCCACACACACTTAGGAAAACTTCAGTGGTGGAAGATTGAGAAGTAGCAATAGCAGGTCTGCAGCCTTCTCCAGTGCCCCGCACTTACTAATATTATGAGTGATTGTGTGTACTGTTAGGCATTCTACCTACACTGTCTTTTATAATCTTTATAATCTACATGTGCTCATCAGTTTTGCAGAGAAAAAGCCCAAGTCTCCAGAGCCATTCTTCTCCAAAGGCTATGTTCTCATCTTAATACTTTGATTTGTAAAGTCAGCATCCTCTGGGCTTGTCTTCCTTAAAGTGGGTTTTAGGAAGGCTCCACAGCCCAACATCTTTAAATTCCGTTGGAAGTGCTCAGCTCTGGTAAACAGGAGAAAGAAACACAGTTACTTTGATTTAAGGCTCTACTAGGGCTGTTGCCAAATGTCAAGTTTCAGGTAAGAAAGAAAAGTGTGATTGCAAGCTGCACTGTCTTTTCAAAGCCAAAATCTGTGTCCTGTATAGAAAATTCAGCTGCGAAGAGGATTCTAAATACAGGTCCCTTGAGGGAGAAGTAGAAGTCTGATGTTGGTTTCCTTTGGGACAATGCATAAAATCAGATCACTACCTGAGAAGTCCTAGCTAATAAGAAAATATCCTTTCATGTTAGATCACAAAAGTAATTAATACCTATAGTATCTCTCTATCTATATACATGTTTTAGAAAATACCAAAAAGTTTAAAGAGCAAAATACAAAATTACCTCTAATGCCATCACCTAAAGAAATCTATTGTGGTGTATCTCCTGCCTATATATTTTTTTTCTGTCCATAAGTTATAAATAGTTTACAAAACTGAGGTCCTTCTGTAGATACAGTGGTGTATACTGCTTTTAATACCATTTACCATCATGTCAGAAGCATTTTCACATTTCTTTAAAATATTTTTATGACAGTTATTTTAAGTGACAACATAAAAATTTGAAACGTATGTTTATAGTTATCACTGGATAGAAAGAAAGGAAACATTGTTATTGTTGTTAGAGCCAGAACATGCCCGTGAGATGTCTTTTCTCCTGTGTGCTTGCAACTGCGGGTTCATTATGGTAGAAAGGCAGCTAACCACTTCCATCATGAGCTCCAGGCTGGAGCAGACTGAAGATGTTTTCTTAAGGATCTGTCCTGCTTCCACGTGGAGCTGTTTATAGAGAGAAAGGCCCAGGGTATAGAAGGAGCTTGGACTAACCCAGGAGCACCTGGAGAGTTTGGCTATGTTGCTAAGGGAATCTCTGCTCCAAACAAGGGTGTGAGCTTCTGGAGGAAATCTAGGCTCAGTGGACCCTTCTACTCTGCATGGAAGCCTCCAAAAAAATAACAAAGGGAAGGCTAGAATGTGCTATGAGATGTTGATCTAAAACCTCCTTTGGGTGATATGGGGGTACCACATGAAGAGTGCACAGGCAGTTTGGAAAGTGCCCCAAGTTGTGGTCTGTTCTGGCTTGCATTTCCTTTTAATTGGAAGGGATCTATCCAGTTGTACAAGGCCCCTGGATATGATTTTGCATGTCTTATTTTTTAAGACATTCAAGGAAAGAGCTGGGGCTTTTTTTTTTTCAAGACAGAGTCTCTCTGTCACCTAGGGTAGAGAACAGTGGCATCATTACAGCTCACTGCAACCTTAAACTCCTGAACTCAAGCAATCCTCTTACCTCAGCTTCTCGAGTAGCTGCGACTACAGACACATGCCACCACGCCCAGCTAATTTCTCTACTTTTTCTACTTTTAATAGAGATGGGAGTGTCACCCTTGCTCAGGCTGGCTTCAAACCTCTGAGTTCAAGGGCAGATCCTAGAACACTAGCAGGGAGGTACGAGCTACCATGCCCAGCTAACACGAGGCATTTTTTTCTTCAGAATTTCAAGGAATTCTGATACAGTGATTAGAAAGGATATTCTGTCCTGCCTGGGGAGATGTAGGAATCTGATCCTTACTGAGGCCACAGAGGAAGAACACAATAGCCTGTCAATTGACTCTTTCTAACCTTGAACAAGACATAGGACTCCCATGGGGCATTGGAATGATCTGTGCAGAACCCCTTGAAGGGCACAGGCTTTTACTCTACATCTGTTCCTGCAGGGCTGTGGTGGCCCCAGGTGATCAAAGCAATGTGACACACATAATGACTTTGTTGGTATCTCAGATGATGTTCAAGTCTCAAAGTCCAGCAGTAGGAGATGGATACCAACAGATCATGGCATTAGACCTAAAGGCTAAGAGCTTGTGCCTCTATCCCTGCCATGCCTTGTAACCTTGGATAAGCCCCTACCACCTCATTTTACCTCCATTTCTCCATAACTCCAATACTAGTTAAAGCTGTATTGGGGAGAAACTTGTTTATTTTACCAAAGGGGCAGATAATATCCACGGATCTCGATTGAAGGCCCAGGGTAGGGGTGTGAGAAGACATAGAAGGAAAAGGCCTGGGATGGCCCTATCTAAAACCAGCTTTTTTTTTTTGGAGACAGAGCCTCAAGCTGTCCCCCTGGGTAGAGTGTCGTGGCATTACAGCTCACAGCAACCTCCAACTCCTGGGCTCAAGCAAGTCTCCTGCCTCCGCCTCCCAAGTAGCTGGGACCACAGGCGCCCGCCACAACGCCCAGCTATTTTTTGGTTGCAGCCGTCATTGTTGTTTGGCGGGTCCGGGCTGGGGATTCGAACCCGCCACCTTAGGTGTACGTGGCTGGCGCCTTAGCCGGTTGAACTATAGGCGCCGAGCCTAAAACCAGCTTTACCAGTGCTTGTGGACTTAGTTTGAAGGCATACTGTCAGAGCCAGCTACATAACTTATGGGGCCCAGAGCAAAATGAAAACATGGAACTCATTTTTCAGAAAGTAGAGAAAAGTATCATTAAAGACCCTAAAGATAAAGCTTTTTTCTTTCCTTTATGGTCTCTCTCTACTGACTTCACGTGGTATTTTTTATTTGCTATTTAATGTCATTACAAGTAAAGAAAATTAAAATTTTTAATTATTGGCATAAATGTTAGCTCTTACCTTTATATTATATGATGTCAAGGTTTGTTTGTTTGTTTTGCTTTGCTTTTTGGGTTTTCCTGAGACAGAATCTCATTCTGTTGCCTTGGGTAGAGTCCAATGATGTCATCATAGCTCACTATAATCTCAAACTCTTAGCTTCAAGTGATCCTCCTAC